GGAGGAGGAAACCATGAAGAAATTTTTCCCCACTCTGACTCAGTAGCTAGTACTTTCCCACCCTGAGCCCTTCCTTCTTCCCTTCCTCCTCTGCCCCCACCACCTCGGGATCCATAAAACTGCTAGAGCTTTTTGTTTTCCTTCAACTGTGAGACACCTATGTCCGTGTTTATGTACTGGCCACACTCCAGGAGGGAAAATGGAACAGAGGGAGGCAGCGCTTCCTCTGCTTCTAGCCTCTTGCTCATACAATTGCAGTAAGTGACTAAAGGCTTAACTCTTTCCTTTTTGGCTTGTGGCTTTAATTGGCTACTCCGTCACCCGTCAGCTCAGTTCTCTCTCCCTGCTAAGCTGAGCTCCTGACAGCCTCCTTCCCTAGGTTATCACTAACTGCAAAAAGTCATTTCATGTAATTTTGCATGAGGGATCCGGACAAGCTCATGGTCTACAGGATTCATTCTCTTGGCCTGGGTGGGACAATTAGGATTCCTGATTCCAAAGTATTTCATAGGGATCACTAATTGTTCTTGTTTTTGTCATAATGGCCCTGCAGATATATTGCATTTGTTAAAGGAGGCCACAGTTTAAATATACCTCTACATCAAACACTCATCGTCACGTCACCAAAACTTAAAACTATCCTGATTTCCCTGAAACAAAACCTAAGCTTTTTTTTCATGTCAGATAACCTGGTAGCTTCCTAGCTAATCAGGTACAAACAGGTAAGCTTATGTAGTACTACTATCCTAAAAGGAATGTATGTTTCTTGTAGCCAATCATAACACAAAACAAGGTACTTCATTCATGCTTTATAAACCGAGTTTCAAGCTACTTTTGGTTTGGAAGTCTCCCTATTTTCCAACAGTCTGTTTCCCACTCAAAATATTTGTCCCATGTAAAGTTTTCTGAATTTTCTTTTGGTGTCAAAAGATTCTACCAGGGTTCTGTGCTTCTACACACTCTCTCACCAGATGATCTCCAAGATGATCCATGAATAAAAAAGGCAACAAGACAAAAAAAAAAAAAGGCAACAAGATCTTTCAATACAGTTGATTATGAAGACAACGGAAGGCTTTCCAAACAGTGATCTCTAGTTTTCTCTGAACTGGTCAACCCCTCAAAAATGAGAGAATGGGGTGCCTGGGTGGCTCAGTTGGTTAAGTGTCTGCCTTTGGCTCAGGTCATGATCCTGCATCGGGCTCCTTGCTCAGCAGGGAGTCTGCTTCTCCCTCTCCCTCTGATCCTCCCCCCCGCTCATGCTCTCTCAAAAAAAAAAAAAAAAA